AAGTATAATTTAATATAATCTTTAATAAGTGAATGCCTTCGGAGAGGTATGCAAAAATTGTAGCACTTGGCGTTTGATAGTCTCTGCGTACCCACATGGGAGACAAGCGTGAACTTATGTATATGTATATATATATATATATATATATATATATATATATATATGTGTGTGTGTGTGTATGTATGTATTACCTTCTCTTTATCCTTGCCCTTGGCTAATTGGTTAATGTGAGCTAGTGCTTGTTCCCAGGTTTGCTTGCGTCCGCTCTCCAACGCCTTCGCCGCGGCCGTTGGTTCCTCGGGAGCTGTTACCACTGGAAATTATAACAAAATATATTTTGACTGCCTCATTGGCCGAGGCTCGGGGTTGTGGGATCGATTCCCGAGACGAGCAAAGTATTACTGGTTTTTAAAAGATTCTCAGTAGTTGCACGGAGTCTGGAAATATATCCGGTATATGGCAATAGGCTCACACCCTTTTACATGGGACTCATAACATAAATAGTGAAAAGTGGGTGTTACATTGTACAGTGGCATTAAGTGCACCTCTGCCAAAGGACTCTCTGATAAAGGGGTTGATGTTATGTTTAAATGCAAAAGGTGTTAATGTATGTAATGGTAAACAAGTGTTAGGGCTCGTACACAATACTGCGATGTGAATTCGCAACGCAGACAATTACGATGCGAATAAGGCGTCTCCCAAGGAGACCATTCCTTCAACGACCGTCAACCGTACTAAACGTATTTTAAATTCAAAACTAGGTCGTGACATGAATCGTAAAAAGAAGTGTGCACTTCTGTTATTGCTTATGAGATCCAGGAAAAAGAAACAAAGAAGATTTTGGGAAGATAAGATTTTGATGCGCGATGGGAATTAAATTCGCAAGTAGTTGCGAAGCGACGTCGTATCGCAGTGTCGTGTGGAGCCCTGCAGTAGTGAGTACAGGACAGTGGCCCCGTCCCTAGGGATGTGTCGTAACAGGCGTTGCACAGTGGAGGCGCCGGAGCAGGTCTCTTTTAGAGGACCCGGTGCCTCCATTCAGGTGTTGAGGGTGGCCATCGGGGTGGTTTTAGTGAGGCAAAAATCCCACACTCCCTAGTCTTTTATCCCCAAAAAGGCTGGGCGCCTTTTGAAGGTTTCCCCCCGTCATCAAAACAAAAAAAAAAGGGGCAGTAGCCCCGTGTACCGACCGGGCCCGGCCGCGCGACGGACGCACACCATGCCGCCGCCCGCCTCGCCTGCGGGGACACACACGGAATTAGGTACTTACCTCAATCAACAATAAATTATTTCGACTGTTCAATACAATCAAATATTAAAAAATAATCACACTTTCATTAATCAATTTTATGACCAACTTCATTTTAATATTTTTTCCAGCAAATTTAATAACAAATAAGTTCTAAAAAAACGTGACGTCACAATACACAATCTCGTACAATATTCATAAAAAAACTGTCGTCTTTGACAGTATAGGCTGACTTAGATGATAGGATACTTTCACCCTGATACTCCCAAGGGATAAAATGGAATACCTACGCGGACAAAGCCGCAAGTAAAAACTAGTACTCTATAAAAAATAAACATATCTTCTCCATTTTCTACACATTTAAGAAATAAATAATCTTATAATAATGTTTAAAATAACCGACATCAACATCAACCCCCTCTACTTTTGAAGTCAATTACTTAAGCCTTTGACTGCCGACAGAAAACTGCTGAAGGCAAATCCTCCGCTGACGTAGGTCACCGGTGACCTACACGGCGATTAACGTGTTAATATACTAAAAACCTTCTCATAAGTGTAGCAAACACTCTTACAACCACATCAAAATCGGGTTCAGCCAATAGCGAGACAATAGCACACAAAAATTAACATACATAAACTGAAAACCATTATTTCGTCTTTTGGAAACCGGTTAAAAACACAATTCATAATAAATTATATAAATCCTTACTAATATTGTAAATCGGAAAGTGAGTTTGTTTGTTTGTTCCGCTTTCAAGCCATAACCACTAAACCGATTGCTTTGAATTTTTTAAGATGTATAGTTAGAAGTTTTGATTAAATAATAGGGTACTTTTTATCCCGGAAAAATTGATATTCCCGAGGGAGAACAAAAGTATTGGTATGATGGCGCTGTGTGTATTGGTATATGTCACATACTACTTTTTATCCTTTTGTGACGCGAGCGAAGCCGCGGGTAAAAGCTAGTAATTCATAAAAAATAATAAAGTGTTGGAGAACTGATACCACGGCCGAGCAGGAAACCGACGTGAAACAACGCTTGCGTTGTGTTTCGTCGTGTGAGTGAGGTTACCGGAGGCCCAATTACCCTCCCCTTCCCCAATCTCCCCAATCCCTGAATCCCCAACGACCCTCAAACTCCAATCCCCAAAAGGCCGGTAACGCACTTGTAATGCCTCTAGTGTTCCGTGTGTCCATGGGCGACGTCGATTGCTTACCATCAGGTGATCCGTCTGCTCGTTTACCGGCTTATGCCATAAAAAAGAAAATACTCACTAATAAACGTTGCAGTAGCGGCCTGCTTCTGCTTCTCTAATTTCTGCTTCTCCATTTCGATGAGTTGCAAGTGTTGCTGGTGTTGCAACTGTTGCTGCAACTGTTGTTGTTGTTGCAGTTGCTGTTGTTTCGCTTGCAACGCTGCTTGTTCCAGCTGTGGAAGGAAATGACATTAATTTATTAACTTTTATTTATTTATTTATTTACGCTTCATGCGCACAGCGTACATTAGGTGGACTTGATGAAATATGAATTAATTATAATTTACTAGCGACCCGCCCCGGCTTCGCACGCTTGCAATATGCATATATAACATCACGCCGTATATCTCCGAAGGAGTAGCAGAGGTGCACATTATGCCGCTGTACAATGTAACACCCACTTTTCACTATTTATGTTACGAGTCCCATGAAATAGGAGGTGAGCCTATTGCCATATACCGGACACATTTCCAGACTCCGTGCTACTACTGAGTTTTTTTTTTAATACCCAGTAATAGTTTGCCAGAACCGGGAATCGAACCCGTGACCCCTTGCCCGGCAGACACTCTTGCGACCACTCGGCCAACGAGACAGAGGCAGGCAGTAGATGTATGTAAAAATATTCATCATGGTGTTACCTGAGTGTGTGAAGGTCTCTCAGGTTTCCCCTGCACGGCCCTGGACTCGGCTAGTTGTCGCTCGCAGTTTTGTAATCGTCGGGTGAACTCTAGCACTTGCTTCTCGGCTGCTTGCATCTCCTGTAAAATTATATTTGATATTATACTCAGGGTGGAATTTTGTAATGCCATCTGAAGGGGAAGTACTCTTAATACTTAAGATAGAAAAAAATACTCAAAGAAAACATTCCTTTGAAAGAAAGAAATCTGCATTCAAAGATTTTTAAAATTCGAGTGGGAAAAATAGGTGTGGGAGAGCCATGCTTCGGCACGAATGGGCCGGCTCGACCGGAGTGATACCACTAACGAGCAGAAAACCGACGTGAAGCAACGCTTGCGTTGTGTTTCGTCGTGTGAATGAGGTTACCAGAGGCCCAATTACCCTCCCCTTCCCCAATTTCCCCAATCCCTGAATCCCCAACGATCCTCAAACTCCTAGTCCCCAAACGGCCGGTGACGCACTTGTAACGCCTCTAGTGTTCCGGTGTCCATGGGCGACGACGATTGCTTACCATCAGGTGATCCGTGTGCTCGTTTACCGGCTTAAGCCATAAAAAAAACGCCACGCGAGAGACTATGTCTATTGTGTCTCATACATACAGGCATTCGAGCGGTTAATATTCATATTCAGGCAACTACCCTATTATCATGATGACCCCACTCAATCCAACGTACCTTGGAAGTAGTATTCATGAGTGTAGTCAGCTCCCCAAGCTGTTCAGCTACAAGCTGCGCCTTGGCTTGCTGTGCCGGATTCAATTTCTGTTTTTTACCTGTAACATATAAAGTTCAAATTCATTTACTCGTTTACAAACATGGGAATAAGTACCCCGCTGTGGTTCGAAACTAGTAGAGCTTTTCTTAGTGTATTCACGTGAGTACCTAACCCGCGTTTTTACTTAATTTAGTATGCCTCACGATAGTTATTAGAAAAACATGGGAATACATATTATAATACTAGATGAATCGGCCAACTTCGTTCCGCTTAAATTTTTCTTGTTTTCGCACCTTTTAAACCTTCTTTGGACTTAAACTGAGCCATGCTTCGGCATGAATGGGTCGGCTTGACCGGAGTGATACCACGGGCGACAAGAAAACCGACGTGAAATAACGCTTGTTTTGACGTGTGAGTGAGGTTATCGGATGTATTACGTTACAATTACTCCGTCTCCCCAAACCCCGAATCCCCCACAATCCGCAAATTCCCAATCCCCAAAAGGCCGATAACGCATTTGTAGCGCCCCTGGTGTTTCGACTGTCCATGGGCGACGCCGATTGCTTACCATCAGGTGATCCGTCTGCTCGTTAACCGGCTTATGCCATAAAAAAAACAACGAAACTTGTCTTTGACCATCATCTGTCACCGTGTTTCGAGGGCATTCCGTTTACACACTATATGTACGGCTGGGTATAGTCTCGTTGCATATTAGTATTCCTCCGGGTATATGAGACCTGGGTGAAGAGTGGCTTTTTTGACGGGGGGAAGCCTTCAAAAGGCGCCTTGCTTTTTGGGGAGAAATACTAGAGAGTGTGGGATTCGAAGCTCACTAAAACCACCCCGGTGGCCACCCTCAGCACCTGTAAGCGGCACCGGGTCCTCTGCAGATACCTGCTGTCAGGGTGCTTACTCTTGAAACCAATCTCAATTTCAATGCAATTTCAATTCAATAAAATCTCAATAATTATTCGATGTCAACACTATACAACCACAATCGTAGCTGTTACAATAGAATTCAGAGCACGGAATATAAAGACAAACTCAATACTATTTAGTTCTTTAATATCCACGCATTACGGATGCAATGGGCGCTAGTGTTGCACTCGAGAGTACGAGATTTCACAATATCAATGTCGATCGATAGGAATTGGATTCAAGAGTAAGCCTTCAGGCGAGGTGATCGTATTTGGCGGGCTTTCTACCCATTAGTTGTTCCTTAGAATTTTCAATCCATGTTTAGTTGCATGAAAACTTCACATGTGTGTCTTCAACTGTACATGCTTTTTGATGACACTGCAGTCGGTACGACTGCGCGTCATTTTTACCTAATTATAAATACACGGTTGCTACACACACCGACCAGTGTGCATTTTACAACAATACCACAAACTACTTAAGAGAAAGGAATAGTCAATATCGACGAACTAGTGCAACTATCAGTAATACAACTTTACTTCTTCAACTACAACTTCGTGTTCTTTTCTCTTCACACTCCAACAATTAACTACAATCTGCAAGTGTACGAACCGTACAGCGTTTGTCTTTATATTCCGTACTCTGAATGCTATTGTAACAGCTACGATTGTGGTTGTATAGTGTTGACATTGAGATTGGTTTCAAGAGTAAGCACCCAGTTCGGTTTCAGAGGAATTTTCTCCCTCGGACCCTCCGATTGCGGAATGTACTCCCTGATGTGGTTTTCACAGTGGGCTACAATATGGAGTTCTTCAAGAGGGGAGTGCCGCTTCATTGCGTCTTGCCGACTCTTAAAAAACCTATTCTTAAGAGTCGGCAAGACGCAACGAAGCGGTAATGCCCCAAGTGTTGCAGGCGTACATAGGCCACGGTAACCGCTTATCATTAGGTGGGTCATGTGCTTTTATGTCCCCGTCGTGGTAGAGAAATAAAAAGGTAGTACCTCTCTTGGTGGTCTTGTTGTGTAGGTGCAGCGCGTCCAGGCGGCGCCGGGCGGCCGCGTGCGCCACGTGCAGCGCGTCCAGCTCGCGGCGCAATAGATCGATACATGTAGTACGTACCTCTCTTGGTGGTCTTGTTGTGTAGGTGCAGCGCGTCCAGGCGGCGCCGGGCGGCCGCGTGCGCCACGTGCAGCGCGTCCAGCTCGCGGCGCAATAGATCGATACATGTAGTACGTACCTCTCTTGGTGGTCTTGTTGTGTAGGTGCCAGACGCAACGAAGCGGTAATGCCCCAAGTGTTGCAGGCGTACATAGGCCACGGTAACCGCTTATCATTAGGTGGGTCATGTGCTTTTATGTCCCCGTCGTGGTAGAGAAATAAAAAGGTAGTACCTCTCTTGGTGGTCTTGTTGTGTAGGTGCAGCGCGTCCAGGCGGCGCCGGGCGGCCGCGTGCGCCACGTGCAGCGCGTCCAGCTCGCGGCGCGCGCGCGCCAGCTCCGACGCTACCGCCGCACGCTCCTCCACCAGACGGGATTCCAGCTGGACCAGGACAACAACAAATTAACGTTCAGTTTTTTTCATCAAGCTAATAGGGGTTTTTTTAAGGGGGGAAAATCATCGAATCTCTGCTTCCGCCTGGGTGAGGCGGGAGGGAGTGTCAGACTCTTATGCCGGAATACTGAAACGTTACTCAATTTTAAGTCGTGCTCAAACATCGTGCCATCTCTGTCATTTTACAAAGAATTTGTAGAGACAGAACTATACTTAAGCACGACTTAAAATTGAGTAGCGTTTCAGTATTCCGACATTACTGACTAAAAACCACCCCGTTCCTTCTCCTGCACGTCGAGCCGGAGCCGCGGTTACCCGTTAGGTTCTCCACGACTCCGAATCGGCATCGGCCCTATTGGGCCCCATCTGTGGTAGTCTGATGGCTCTTTGAGGCGCGCGCGGAACGCGACGCGCCGTATGCTCGGGTCTATTTCTGGTCGGAGAGGAGCCACCCATGCTGTATGTCCTCCGGCCCGCGCTTACGGTGGCCGGAGATCGTCCCGCGATCCCCGACGCCCGGTGTGTCCTTCGCGATGGCTGGGTTGTGGGTTGCTAGGACGCGCTCCGCCTCCTCCTTAGCTAGCATGACTGCTTCGCAAAAGGAGGAGACGGCATCCCAGTCCCCCTCGCTCCGCATCATGGCCTGCACTAGGCCCGGACGCGAGAGGTCGCCATCGTCGATCACTTCCCTGAGGGCACGGCGGTGCTCAGCCCACGCAGGGCATTCTGCTACAGTATATTCCACCGTGTCCTGAGGGCAGTCCTCGCAGTGATGACACCCGGACGTTTCCTGCCGCCCCATCAGACACAGGTACCTCCCGAAACTCCCATGTCCGGTGAGGACCTGCGTCAGGCGGTAGGTGAGGACGCCGTAGCGTCTCTCAAGCCACTCCTCAAAGAGGGGACTTGCCGCTGCGATGTCAGCGAGCCTAAAGCTAATAGGGTAGTTTCCTAAATTTTATTCTATTGTCCGTTTAGTACATTAATTTAAAACTTTGGACAAGTATTTTTTTTCCCTCACATAATTTCGACGATATATCGTGAAATATCGTGTGACGTCACAGCGTGCCACATTTTGTAGCACGTTATGACGTAACGACCTCCCACTCCTAAACTTAGCGCCATTTTATCTAAGTATTGCAACTTAATACGAGAAAATAAACAAATACGTGTCTAATATATTTTCTTTATCTAACTGACGGACTAATAAGATTTTTAATTTTGATACCTTGGAAACTACCCTATTATTCAGTGTATTGGTAACACATAACATAACATTACGCCTTCTATCCCGAAGGGGTAGGCAGCGGCGCATATTACGGCACTTAATGCCACTGTACAATGTAGCACTCACTTTTCACTATTTATATTTATGTTATGAGTCCCATGTAATAGGATGTGAGTCTATTGACATATACCGGGCGCAATTTATGACACCGTGCTACGAATGAAAATTTTTAAAAACTTCAGTAATACTTTGCCCGACCCATGTCGGAATACTCAAACGCTACTCAATTTTAAGTCGCGCTTAATTATAGTTCTATCCCTACAAATTCTTTGTAAAATGACAGAGATGGCACGATATTTAAGCACGACTTATAATTGAGTAACGTTTCAGTATTCCGGCACCAGGAATCGAACCCGAGACCTCTTGCCCGGCAGTAGTGACGGACTAATTACATTATTAATTTTCATACACTGTCTACTACCCTATTATACCTTTCGTGAGACATACTAAATAAATTATTATGTTTTCGGGTTACTCACGTAACTGTTTGACGAGGAACTCGACTAGTTTCAAGCCATGCTAGAGGCTCATATTCATGGGCAATATTCAGCGACAATCGCCAGTTACGTGAGTAAACCGAAAACATAATAATTAATTGTACCAAAATCATCAAAGTCAAAGTCAAAATCATTTATTTCAATTAGACCAGGGTGCTTACTCTTGAAACCAATCTCAATGTCAATGCAATTTTAATCAAGTCTCAATCATTATTCAATGTCAAAATTATACAACCCCTGTCGTAGCTGTTAAAGTAGCATTCAGAGTACAAAATATAAAGCCAAACTCAATACCATTTAGTTCATTCAATATTCACGCAATACGGATGCAATGGGCGCTAGTGTTGTAACTCAAAAGTACGAAATTTGACAATGTCAATGTTGATCGATCGGAATTGGATTCAAGAGTAAGTCCACAGGAAGGCACTAAGGAACGTCAACAAAAAAAAATGTGAAGCTATTTGCCCATTCCAAAGTGTAGATTCCTATGGAGAAGAACGAGCAAGAAACTCCATAGGTTACTCTTTTTCAATCAGGTTCACAATACAATTCTCCAGTTACACAGTTTTATTGGTTCCATTGTGCGAGTACCTTTTAACCAAATTAAATAAAGAGTTTAGTTACTCGTCTTACCTTCTTTGCCTTCTGCCTCTGTTTTTTAGCCCTCTTCTTGCCACGATCGACATGTCGAGCAGGTCCTTCTATATATTGTAGCAGAGCGTCCAGGTCTCGCGTGTCTTCCGGGCGGGAACCACGCCAGCATGACCCACTGCAAGACAGACATAGGTTATAAGATTTAAGAGGTTAAAGGCGCGTAATTGTATATCAGATCCGTATCATTAATGAGAGAAGACTTCACTGACAAAAAATGAATAAAATAGAAATCGACTATTTCTAGAAACAAATGAATTTCCTCCTTTTAAGCAAGATGTGCCTGTGATAGGAGACTCTTTGACAACAAGACGTATATAACAAACTTCCATAAATACAATAGGCGTGTCGACAGGGTAAAAAAATCAAAAAAGTAATTAGTCCGTCATTAAGATCGCACGAAAATATCAGACACGTATTTTTTGTTTTATCAAATTAACAGAAGAATACGTAGTTATTCCGCATTAAAGTTAGGGAGTGGGGGGTGTTGACGTCACACTTACGGAGAAATCGTACCTAATTGTGACGTCACGCGTCATTTTAACTCAAAATATCTACATGTTTTTTTGGATACGAGAAAAAAGAAAAAATACGTATCGAAGATTTTTAAAATATCTAAAAGACGGACAAAAAATTAAAAAATAGTCGCCATGCCTATTGTCATCATCATCATCAACAGCCTATAAATGCTGAGCAAAGCCTCTCAAAAAAAGTTTGAGCATTAATCACCACGCTTGCTCATTGCGTTGCAATAACAAGTATATATATACACTCACCCGGAACACCCGCTGGAAGTAGAGAAGACACTAGTATCCCTGCTGGAGAGAGACACAGTGCTCCTCTGCTGCCCCGCCCTGCTCTGTCTGGCTTGTTGTTGTTGCTGTTGTTGTTGCTGCTGCAACCGTTGCTGTTGTTGCTGTTGCAACTGCGCTTGTTGTTGCTGCTGCTGTTGCTGTTGTTGTTGTTGCTGCTGTTGTTGTTGTTGTTGTTGTTGGAGTTTTTGTTGTAGAAGCTGTGAAGAAACGAGCAGAAAATTTGTTAAGGACGTCATCTTTTAGTTAAATGCGCGACGTTAGTTATGCTGCTTTCTTAAACAGGTTTGTTATTATCATTGGACTCTTATCCGTGCCCTTGTCGTTCAATTACATTTTCGCCATTTTCGAGCTGTGTAGAACCATGGGCCACTACCGGAATAGATGAAGCGACTTCATATTAAACGAATTACGTCATGATTTGACTCCGAAATTTGATACAAGTGAGTGTTGACAAAAAAAACCACGAATGTATCTAAATTGATTTGAAGTAAATTGATGTGTTGAGAGCTATGCTGGGCCGGCTCGACCGGAGTGATACCATGGCCTCACAGAAAACCGACGTGAAGCAACGCTTGCGTTGTGTTTCGTCGTGTGAATGAGGTTACCGGAGGCCCAATTA